CCAGATGGTACACTCGTTCGATCTGTGTACAGAAAAGCAACATGGACGGGGCAATACTTGAACTTTAATAGCTTTTGCCCAATGAACTATAAACGAGCTCTAGTACGTACCACTTTTGCTAGAGCTCGCCAAATTTGCTCATTAGACACAATCGAACATGAACTAGAACGAGTCACCTTGACGCTACAAGAGAATGGGTATCCAGTGCGATTTATAACTCGACACGCAAAAGTACGATCCGGAGATAAAACACCAACCGATGTCCCAAAGAAAAGAGTATTCATTACACTGCTCTTCAAAGGAGATCAAGTTGACCGAAGATGCAGGCATCGCCTCCGTCAATCGATTAAGAAGTGTTACCATGCGGCTGAGCTAGTGTTATTGCATCAAGTCAGAAGGCTGCTCTGTAAATCCAACCTGGACAGACCAGACTCTCAAGTTACCGCCTCTTGCATTTACCTCTTTAATTGTACTTGCGGTAGCAAGTACGTAGGCCGAACTGAGAGAAGGCTGTCAGCGAGGATTGCAGAGCATGTTCCGCGTAACATGATTGCTAAGGGTCCGAAGCTACCAACTAGCTCTATTGCCCGCCACATCCTAGACTGCCCTGAATGCCAGAACCCACGTGGCAATTTCAGGGTAGTTAGTAAACAGGCTAATCCCCGTTTACTACAGTTTGCGGAGGCGGCAGCAATTCGGCGGCTGAAGCCAAAGCTATGCAAGCAAACGGATTTCGTGACCACGCTAGCCCTACCCTGGTGAGGCTAGCGATTGCGTTTTCCTCGGAACAGGTCACGTGAGCCTAAAGACCTTCGACCGCTTTGAATTTTTTGCTGTTAACATCGCACTGTTTTCCACTCATTGTATGTAAACAGGTGTATTAGCCTAACGCCAGTTGTGACAAAATTACTGGCCTCGATTATCGTTCGTCGCCTCACTGCAGAACGGGAATCTCAGAGTAGGGAAGAGCAGGCCGGTTTTCGCCCAGGACGTGGCTGTATAGACCATATATTTACTTTGCGGCAGGTACTAGAGCAGCGCCACGCATACCGCAGACCGACAATAGCTGTGTTCCTCGATTTCAGGAGTGCGTTCGATTCAGTCGATCGATGCATTCTCTTCGAACTACTTGCGCGGAAAGGTGTTCCCACGAAATATGTGAACATCCTTCGTGCTCTATACTCGAACACTTGAGGCCGCGTCAGGGTCTATGGTGCCCTATCGGATAGCTTTTCGACTACAAGTGGCGTTCGACAGGGTTGTCCGATTTCCCCGTTTTTGTTCAATTTCGTCGTGGATTCTATCATGGAGTGTTCCCTTACGGAATCTCACGATGTAGGTGTTGAAGTGCTGCCTGGTGAACGGTTAGTTGATCTAGATTATGCGGACGATATCGTCTTGCTTTTCGACAATGTTGAGGCCGCGCAATCAACCCTGAATAGCCTATCCAGAGTGGTCCCGTTATTTGGTATGCACTTCGCACCTTCAAAGTGCAAAGTGTTGCTGCAGGACCACCAGCCACTTGATGACCCCTTGACGCTTGCTAACGAGGAACTCGAGGTGGTTGATCAATTCACTTATCTTGGCAGTTGCATCAGCAATGATGGGCGCATAGAAACTGACGTCAACTCACGCATTGCAAAGGCCAGAGCTGCCTTCTTGAACCTGCGTCATCTTTGGCGACAGAAGAAAGTTCCCTTCCGTCTGAAAGGCCGTGTATACAAGGCCACAGTGAGGGCCGTCCTGCTGTATGGTAGTGAAACTTGGCCCCTTCGGTCTGAAGATCTGAGGCGCCTTCAAGTCTTTGATCATCGTTGTCTGCGAAGCATTGCTGGTGTCGGATGGCACCAGCGTATCCGCAACGATGATGTGCGTAGGCGAGTACTGGGTGGTTATAATCATGCTAGCTCACTAGAACAACAGATAGCACTGAATAAGTTGCGTTGGCTCGGGCACGTGCTACGCATGCCTGGTCACCGCTTACCTAGGAGGGCCTTGTTTAGTCTGTCAGGTGTAGCATGGCGCAAGGCTCGGGGTGGACAGACGGTGACTTGGCAGCGGGAAATGAAGTCACTGACAACCAAGCTGGGTGCCGTTGGTCTGTCTCGCCTTCCGGGTTGGAGTCCACGTGACTCACCTTGTGCTTGGCTCAAGACTTTACAGGACATGGCTCGCAACCGACACCAGTGGCGCGTGTGCTGCCGTCTCCTAATCGGATTGTCTGTTTAAAGTGTGTTTGGTGCTGAGTTATCTGCGGGATAATGGCTGATTATGACGCGGGGCAGTGAAAGCCGCAAGGAAGCTGTCTCGCCGATGCCGCCTTATCTTTGCACGATAGCCAGCTGTTTGTGACGGTATATTGTTTACACAAGGTGTAGGCGCCTTGACTCTGAATGTTTGCTTAGGGCATTAAGGTTTTCAGGTAAGTCCCCCTTCTCTCCCTCTCTTCGAATCTGATCATGCCTTGGTACGCTGTCATTTCTCGATAAACTTTGTCAGGAGACGCACGAAGCGTCTCCTCCAATCGGCAACTGAGAAATTGTCTCAGCCCTCGGTCAGGCAAGCCTACCAGGATGCCCTACGTCTCGAATTTTCGCTACCTTATGCTAATGACACTAAGCTTCAGTGGAATAGGATCTCGACCACCATGTACCATGTAGGAGCTTCCGCTTGCGGCACTATCATTCGTCGCTGCATCAGTAACTGGATATCCGATAGATCGGTGAACCTGTTGGAATTCAGAAAAAGCACTCCCGGCTGTTTCTGAACAGAATGTGTCCAGACGAACTATTAGGCACGAACTAAAGCGGAGCTTGCATGTAAACAAAGAAGCGTGGTGGACTAGTAGGACACAAGAAATGTAGGAAGCAGGAGTATTGGGCAATTATCGCAACCTCTTCCAACTGATCCGCACCACGGGTCCCAGAAAAGCAGGCGTCAGTGTGACAATCAGAGACAGTGCGGGTGCCCTGATTCAGTGAGGAGCGCTGTATTGCTCGCTGGGCTGAGCACTTTCGTGAGTAGTTCAGTTGTCCCATTGCTTCTGAACCTCTTCCTACTTCAGTTGATGCAATTGAGTCATGGCCGGTTAGTTTAGAGCAGGATTGTCCACATTTTGTGAGGTAAACATATGTCGGGACATATTCAGTCTGACATTAAGATAATGACAAAAATTACACAGGTACGAAAAAATTCCAAGCCTGAATTTATTATTTCATGATGAGGCCGCGGGCCGGACTTTGGACACCCCTGATTTAGAGGACCCGTCGGAATCTGAGGTCCGAAACGCAATCGCAACCCTCAATCTGTTTCGTGCTAATGGCCCGGATTCCCTCGCACGCGCCCTGTTTAAGAGTGGTAGTGAGATCCCCTGCAGAGCACTGACCTCGATGTTCGAACAGGTCTGGAAGGCAGAGGCCATTCTAGCTAACTGAGGTGAATCGATTATGGTGGCGATATACAAGATGGGTAGTCGTATCGATTGTTCTAACCACAGGGGTATTTGCCTAACGCCGGTGGTGACAAAATTACTGGCCTCAGTTCTTGTTCGTCGCCTCACTGGTGGACGAGTATCCCGCATTTGGGAAGAACAAGCAGGCTTTCGCCCAGGACCACATATTAACTATGCGGTTGGTGCTAGAGCAGTGCTACACGTACCGCAGGTTGACAACAACTGTGTTCCTTGATTCAGTCGATCGATGCGTTCTGTTCGAAATATTTGTGCGGAAAGGTGTTCCCATGAAATATGTGAACACTTTACATGCCCTGTACTGGAACACCACAGGCCGCATCAGTCTACGGTGATTTGTCGGATACCCTTCCTACAACAAGTGGCGTTCTTCAGGATTGTCCAACTTCTCCATTTTTGTTCAACTTCGTCATGGACTGCATTATACAGTGTTCCCTTTCGGAGCTTCACGATACAGGCTTTGAGGTGCTGCCTGATGGAAAGTTATTCGGCCTTGATTATGCGGACGATATTGTCTTGCTTTCTAACGATGTTGGGGCGGCCCAGTCAACCCTGAACAGCTTCTCTAGAGTAGTCCCATCATTTAGCATGTGCTTCGCATCTTCAAATTGTTGTTACAGGACTACTAGCCGCATGATGACCTTTTGACCATTGATAGCAAGGAAATCGGGATATTTGATTGGTTCGACTACCTTGACAGCTGCATGGGCAACGATGTGCGCATAACGACCGTAGTCAGCGCAATGCAGAAACTGCCGTTGCGTTAATCAGGCCTCGCGATCCTCCCGGAGGAGGTGCTAAGTATGGACTTAACCGCGACCATACGGACAACTGCAAACGTTCGTTAGAGCTGTGTATGAAGCACCGGCTGTAGGCTAGTGGTAACGAGCTTGTCTCATAATCTTGCAACGCGGATTCGAATCAGCGTAAGGGTGGGCGTCCTCGCGATATACTCAGCCCGCGTGCGACTTGTGGTGGTCACGGCAGCGTAGCGCCGTTACGGCGTACAGTTGACACCCGGTGGAGCTGTTTAAATTCAGCGTTAGTGGTTCTTCGTAGTGAATGAAACACAGCGCCAGCTGGAATTGTCCGACGAGCTTCGAGAAGTTAGAAGGATCGTGCAGAGATCCAGTGGTTGACAGGGCTACTACGCCACTACAACGAACAAGCAACTTCTGCTAGTCCCGCGACTGGGAAGTCGCACAGTGGTCTCAAGTCGGATCACGCAGAGTCGACTGTTGACAGGGATGCATTCTAGTAGCGCGGCGTCAGCACGTGTTCAACGCAGTTCACACGCCGCAAAGATCAGCGGTTTCGGCAGTTGCGTCTCCAGATAAGCGCAGTGTAAACCTGCCAAAGGGACCTGCAGACGGCGAAACCGGTCCTAGCGTCGTGTTAAGGCCCTGTAATCGGGTTTCGTTGGGGCAGCAGACATTAGTAGAAGTAGTTTCAAGCGTGCGAGCAAGGTCTGCTTATGATCCAATCTGCATCAGCGTCCGGACGTTGAAGGTTGCCAGTTTGAATTGGGAATGGGGCGCTAAAAAACCCTTGCCAGTACTATTTGGCGGCGCACCCTCGGACATAAATTCCTGATCCGTATGACGAGAACACTTGCCCAATGCGGCACGGTGTCGTGGACTCGGAAACCGAGGGGGATTACCAAGGACGGGGTGTTGAGCAAACGTGGAATTAAGTAACCGAACTGTGGTGCGATATAGCGTGTTCGGCCGCCAGCACCTCCGCCGGCGGTAGCATTCACAAAGAGCGGAGAGAGAGAACAGAAAGTTTTTGAAGCATTAGTCCATATGTTGTGTGGGCATATAGCTTCCCGGTCGAGGAAGACGGTTGACATAAGGAACCCCACCTGAAGCCTTTGGTCTTAAAGACAGCGGGGTCATTGACGTATATCGCGTACCGTTGGAAGCCGACTATCACGATGATGAAAACACGGCTTTCGAGTAAAAACAAGCTACTCAGGACGCCCAAGAAACTCGGAGGAAGCAACACGGAGGCCATGAGCAGTTTTCTGGACCACCGAACTCGCAGAATAGCACGAAGGCCATTGACAGCCGGGTGGCTCATACTTCTTCACAGAAGCCGATGGTCATCGACGTAGTTCATCCACCCTCAGTTGACCACTCACTTCTGGTTGCAAAGTGAGTGGTCAGTGACCCTATAGCCGGCCACATCAGTTTTGCTACAGCGTCTTACGAGCTCTTGTAGTATTTAATTAGGAACCAGGTGACCAGCCCAGAACCCCCACGCTCTAGGATGCTGCCGCTGATTGTCCACGATTGCTTGCTCATCTCGCCTGCGTACAACGAGACTTATTCACAGTTGCCTTCACAAGGAAGGCGTTCCTCGATCCGCAAACTGAGGACGCACCCCGTGACGTACAGCTCCGCCGAACCAACCATTAGTCAGTTCACTTTCTGGACTGAGTCTACACTTCAGTTGTCTGTTCAGCCCTACTGTACGGCGATGAAACCTGGTTCATCAAATGGACTTATGTGAAGAGCCTTGCTTCATTCCACCTCCGGTGCCTTCGCAGCTTAGCGCACATCTGTTGGGAACACCTTGTGAGCAACGAGCATGATCGTCGCCTTGTTTACGGCACACGAATAGCAGGTTAAGGGTTCGGCTCCTAGGGTTGGATCACCTGTTGCGCATGTCAACACACCGACTCCCGCGAAATGTGTTCTTTGCGCACCAGGGTTGTGGATGGAAGAAGAGGAAGGGATGCCAACCAGTAACTTGCTCAAGATAAATGATGTCCCTTGCTTCGAAGTCGGTATCGATTGGAGTCTCTCGGCTCCCTGGTTGGTGTCCTAAAGATGAACACGTTTGGCTGGATAGACTTTTTGACATAGTTAGGAGCTGACCTCAGTGGCGTTCGTTTTGTGAGTTTCTTTATCCCTATCCTCCCGCTTAGCTTCTTCCTCCAACCACGATCTCGTCGCTAATGCATAATATAATGCACATTATGATAACATTATTTCGATTTGCTTTCCATCTGATTGATTTTTATTGCGACACAATAGTTGGGGTGCCTCGCCCCTGATGTGTTTATTAATAACGATTGCCTCTTAAGTTCCCTTTTATTTCAGATTTACTCTATTAATATATCGAATTGCCGCTGGTTATAAGTACCCTTATTCCTACGCCGGTTGTGGCAACCAGATCTGATTTGACTAACTGAAAATCTGCATGCGGCACACTCCATTTTTGGGATGACTTTTCTTCCGTCACAGACAGTTTGCTACCACCATCAGCGATGTACCACATAGGGACACTGGTATATCATACGCACCTACGCAGGTTCGGATCTGTGGATTACAAGACACACGTCTTGATCACTTCATCATTGGCCGGCGACGCTTTTTCTTGTATCACGCATTTGACCACGGCAATTGTATGCCTTGCCGAGCCACCGGAACCTCATAGTACCTTTGTTCGTTTGACGCTTTAGCCGTATGCTCTGCACCAAGCCTCAGTATAGTCAGGCTTGTTAACTTGCCTTTAATTTTGTTTAGCGTTCGAGTCACGGTTCAGGGTCTGAATTAACACAGGCTATTCACAGCACTACATGACTTCACTCTCTGATTTCTGAGTTATTGGTATTTTGTCTGCGCATAATTACTACCGGTATCATGATATTTCCTTCGTACACTTATATGCTCCTATACCTTACCTTAAGGTCCATTTATTTAATGAAAGGGGATTATGACGCCAATTTATCGCTGGCTACCGGTGGTTTCGACCACATTATACGCATGTGGCAACCGAGCACTGGAAAGTACATACAAGGCTTTCAGCATAACGAATCACAAGTACAGACGCATTTCCCTCTGCCTCATCTCGGCATAGGTCAATGCTCTGGCGTTCTCACGAGATGGGCATTACTTGGCTGCTGGTGGATATGGGCGTGTTCGGGTTTACGACACTCATGGTGCTGCAACCCCAGCAGTGATCGTGTCAGAGTTTAACAAAAATGTAAATACCCTGGGATTCAATGATGAAGGAAATTGGATGTTTGCTGGGTCGGAAGATCGCGTAGCGAAGATTATTGACTGGAGGGCTGGTGGCAGTCTGTGGATCACTCGAGTTTTTCAGGTTAGCCCTTGTGCTGTTTTTCGATATTCTGAATTATGATTGCTTCACCTTAACCTACGAAAACAGGATCGGAGTAAGTAGAAAAATACCTTTTTTGCCCTATTTTTCACTCGGTTTTTGAATTTTTCCTTACTTATTTTATTAGGGGAAGGAAAGGGAAATTACCGCAACATGTAGATACATGTCCGTTATTGACATCAGTCTTGAGCCATGACTTCCAGGGCCTCCAACCAGGGAATCGAGAACAACAGACCAAGGCCAACTGTTTCGTCTCCCCAATTCGTTTGATGTTCACCGCGCCGCCTGCTCCAGTAACCGCTAACGCACGATGCGGAAGACAATGAGCGGATTGCACAATATCTGTCCACGCTACCGCAGCTGACGCAGTGGAACCAGCTCCTCGAGCGAGTGGCTGCCTCCACTCAAGACATGCTCTCACTTCCACATTTGTTACGTGGTGCAGCCACCACACACGAATGGTGGACCGCAAGCGAAGGTGCTCAAAGAAAAGCGGCGCAGACCAACGGTAAGAACAGGCTATCTCGCGACCGTACAACAGTACAGCGCGGACAGTCACACAGTGAACCCGCCCTTGATGGATAGACGAATGTCAAGGCGGCGCTACAACTGCCTCAGCCTAAAGAAAGCGAGACGAGCTCTTGAGATACTCATCAAAACCTCGTCTCCAACAATTCCACTGGCAATGACGCAGCTCCACAATCTTTGGTATTTCTTCACCAAGACTGGGTGTAAGTACATCATCAGAAAGGCATCAGAAATTCTTGAAAATGTGCTTTGACCTTGAATGGGGAAAAGCCATCCGATACTTTGACGCTTCAATCGCCAAGCGGTTAAGTGCAAGTTGGACGGTCTTTGGACCGTCACCCAGCAAGACGATATCATCAGCGTGGTACAAGTCAACAACTCAACTACCTAGGAGGACCTCGACGCCAGCGCTCAACGAGTCCACCATAGCATTTTCGAGGACATTCAGTGGCAAAATCGAAGAGGAATGGGGAAATAGGGCAACTTTATCGAACTCCGTCGTTGACAACAAAGAAAGACGAAAGCTTGCCACCAGTCCTAACTCTACCCGAGGTCAGACTGTAAATAGCGCGCGAGTCCCAAGATGGCGCTCGCTTGGTGGCAAGCGGTCCCTTCGTGCGTTTAAATTCCAGACAGGAATGACGTCAGGCTTTTTAAAGGAACGCGGAAGGTCATGTAGTTAGTAAAAGCAATCACTACATCCGGGCTGTAATCTGTATGAGCGTAGGCGTAGACGACAAATAAGGCACGTGTAACATCTCGACGCTTACATGAAAGTTTGTCTGACTGCACATAGCCAGTTGTTGATTGGCATCCAGCTAAGCAGAGAGGACTCAACATTGTCACTCAGAGCAACCCCAACACCAGCCTGCCCAGGAGCGGCAGCTGCTAGGTCCTTGGAAAGGCGCAAATGGTATCTGACGTCAGGGTTTGTCGGAAAGGTAATTAATGACGGTACTGAAGTCGTGCAATTTGGTTTTGAAAAGCAACATATGTCTACCGAGAGCGTCTCAAGAGTGCGGATCAGGTAAGCTTGCAGTCCGATCTGCATCCGAGTGCCACATTTAACGCTGCGAAGCCGAATGGAGAACTGAGTCGAAAAAAGCTGGGGTTTCGGTGGAGTGTGAGAAGACTGTGATCACCGGGCCTCGAACACCAAGAGTTTGACTTACTTCCGCCAGGTGCGACCAGTGAGTTGTTATTGTCGGTGACCGGGGAAGACATAAGTGTAGTTGAAGCGTGGGACAATTTCTGACTGAAGGTTGAATAGTGTGGACAGTATAGTAGATAGATATTGCAAGAGTTAAAGTAGTAGTATGGTCCATTCATGATTCGTCAGTGGACGTGGTACTACCCGATTGCCCAGGCCGAAGTAGTGGATTGTCTTAGAGGTTCCTACCCCGAGTCTTTGGTCAAGGCAGCAAGGCGATATGAGGGCGTCCGTGACTAAGCAAGTGATTCATACGCGTTTAGGACCGAAAAGGACCAGAGGTCCAACACACCCTTGAATTACAATGCCACTCTGAAAGATGCAAGGGGCAGTGATTTTATTTAGTGGCAAGTCACATCCCCCACGCTACAGTGTTATTAAACGGACGTATGTGACTTTTATGAGGAGAACGCTTGCCAGGCGAAAACGCATCACGTCCTGAAACACTTCCGCCGAACCATTCACTGGAACGGGAACCACCCAGCTGGCACCACAAGGAGCTTGTTCGGCCAACCAACAATATTCTTGGCGAAAGATAGCGCACACTGTCGTCTTTTCGGGTCACATTTTTTTTGGTTTGTGCCTAACTCGCTCTCTCTTCTGGTAACATTCAACATAGGAAGCCTTTTATTATACGAGGATCCTTATCTTCTTCAATATCGGCAGTTTATATGGGCTGGATGGTTGTTACCGATGAATCTCAGCAAGCTCACATGTAACAGGCGAACCAGCGAGCTATCACTCGAACGACAGCGAACTTCCACACCCAGCTTATTTACTTATGGAAACACGTTTCTCCCCATTACTTACGTCACGTTTCGCCTAGCTGTATTTTAAGATGGTTTTGCTGATTGTTGCTACGTCACTTCCGAACATCCTACCCATATTCATGTCGATTTGAGTTGGGTCTTTCGGCTCGGTTCGGTATTTCATAGATACGTTACCTATGGGGTTTTTATTCTAATAATCCGAGATAGCTCCCCATATGAATCCAAGACCTAGGCCCGCGGCTCAGATTCTTGGGTTGTTATCGCTAGTTCATGTGATTGAACTTGCATGGTTGCAGGTTAACTCAGTACGCCAGACCGCATGCGATCGCTGCTGACAGCAAGAAGTGGTCGGAGTTCCTGTGTACCGCGGGTATTAGTTACCTCGTCAGCTTCGTTTTCATCAACGGGGATGCACAAACTGAGCTCCTTTTTCTGGAACCGGATCATTAATCAAGTAGATCGGGTCATTGCAGCCGTCCGTTCAACATTCATGTAGGGCTGCGAAACCTGGCCCACTAGGTCGACCACCGCAATTTAGGTCATGTCTTGTGGAAACACCGCGTGTGCATTGAACGTATTCGGCGTCGTGTATTTGATGCAGGAAAAGTGAGTGAACTGCCCAACACTGTTATACCAGGCTCCGATGGCTAAGCCACATGTTGCGCATGCCGGCACACCGATTCCCGTGACGCGCATTGTTTGCGCGTCCGAGGTGTAGATGGAAAAAGAGAGGAGGCGAAGGGACGACTTGGTCAAGAGAGATGAAAACCTCCACTTCCAAGTTGGCATCCGTTGGTATCTCCTGACCGCCGGACTGGGGTCCGAAGGATGATCAAGTCTGGTTTGATGCACTTTATATGCAAAAGAGCCGATCTCAGTGACGTTGTGTTATCAGTTTCTTTGTCCATCTTCCAACCATGTGCCCATACTCAATGTGTAGTATGATATTTAGCATTATTTCACTTTTTACTTTTATATTCTACAATATTTGATATCTTATTTCTTTGTATTGCACCACATAAATTGAAGTGTGCTTCTCACTTTCAGCAATCATGTATTGATGATGATGAAGTATCATATCACATTTTTCCTTTTGTTGTGTAATCATGGGTGTGTGAGCTGTTAGCGATTCTCAATGACAGTTTCTGCTTTTGGTTTTTCCATCACTTCATCATAACTGTTTAGAAAATTTTTCGGCATGATATCTCCATTTATGAAAAACACCCATGTGATTGTGCTGCATACCCACCTAATATTTATTCTCCTTTACCGATCCTTCATTACGCTGTACACCTGAAAATGCATACACGTATGGTTCTCTATATTATTTTCTTAAATTGCTGCAACTATTTTTTGATATCTGTGAGTTTTCTGATCATTCTGTCATGGTATGTCTCGTTCTATTTACTATACTACTCAACCAAATGTACTCCTGTCTATCATCTGATTGGTGCTCGGAATACCTTTTCGAAGGGACATTGTCCAACTATACCATAGTGTTTCAAAAATGTGATTCTGTTACAGTCGACAAGCGCCTGCTACTTCTTCATTCCATTCATCTTATGCATCAAATCTCAGACCTCCTCGAGCATCAATACAATGCTGTTGCATCGGAATCAGCATGAAATAATCATGGGTACAAACAAGGGAGAAGTGGTCATCTGGGATTTGCGCAACAATGCGGCCAACACGATTTGCCCTGACTCCGATAACGGACCAATACACAGTCTATCGATCAACCCTGACATGACGTCGCTGGCCGCAGTCAATTCAGGCGGATACCTTATTGTCTGGTCTCTTACCGGAGATTCTGCTTGGAGACCGTTGGAAAGGGTAAGCGGCGTCGTGATAAGTCACAAATTCCCTAATTGTGCGCGCGAAACTGTAGTAGACTGACAACGGCGCGCTCGCCATCTTAATCCTGAAGTATGGCACTGTGCACCGGTCATTGTTTGGCTGGTAAGTGATATGTGCAGGGTTCCGCCGAGGTTTTTCTACATACCAGTGGGTAATGTTACGTCGGTTAGGTTGAAGTCGCTTTGATACTCAGGTTGTTATTGTTTCACTCTTATTCTTCGACCACAGTTGATGCATGTGAGGACGTCCGTCTCTTCGATCAGCTCTATCTGATAAAGGCGGTAGCATGGACTGTGCCTGCTACCCTCCCTGATGTGGCCTGTTGTACTTATATTTGTGTTGGCGACGCCGCGGTGACGTCATCCGACCTTGGTCACGCTATACAGGTATAGCTGCTCTACCAGTCCAGTTCAGGGCACCGAATTGCAAATGGATGCAGTTGCAACAGAAAATGAGATTGAACGCAAATAGAAAACAAAGAAGTGGAATCAAGAAAAAACGTAAAACTGATTGGGATAAAATTACAAGTAACAGCTAGATGCGAGAAACCGAATGCAGGAACGCCACTGACAACGCGATTGCGCCTTGTCCGATTGGTGTTTCCAATCACTGGTATGGACCACCCCAAGTCACCGCCTGGTCACCTCACGGTTCCGTCCAACTTGGTGCAGCGATGGCGTATAACCCAGGCCCTAAGAAGGCTAGTAAAGAGCATACGGAGTACGTGACTTAGCTAACGTAGGTCCAGCAAACACTCGAGCGAGGCACCAGAAGGCTTCTTGCCGAAAAACCAACTAGCGGACGTCAGCACTGCTTACCCCGATGTTTAACCAGATGTGAGTAATACTCCGCAAGCATCGGGGGTCAAGGACATCTAAGCGCTTGATGTCTTCACTGCGAACTGGCCAGGTCTCTGATCCTTACAGTAACGTCGACCTTATCGCAGTGTTGTATTCCCTACCTTCCACTCGCAGACTGATATCCTGCTGTCTCCATAGTTGTTGGAGCCTAAGAAATACGACATTGGTCTTGCTGATACGCGGAGTAACCTCCTCAGAGCTATAGCCACCAGAGGTGACATTGCCGTCAAGGTAAGTGAAAATGCAAAGCACTAACCGAAGCGTGCAGCGCTACGCACCAGCCTGTTCAGTAGTGCTTACACATTGTCAATGCGCCATATCCAAGGAGAGCTATGTCGTCCGCGTACTCAAGATTTTTCGGTTGGCCATCTGATCTGCCAAGTGAACAGACTGAGTGCTTTCTTTTGGTCGAACGCGGAAAATATTCGTGACTACATGTGACTGTCAAGCAGCAAAAAGTAGGATCGACCTACGGTATGTAAGAACGAAAAATGTCTGCAAACAAGCCAATAAATATTTGAACAAGGCATACTGGATAGCTCTCTTTTACTTTATTTTGGGAGAAATATTTCACTTCGCAATCAACCGTTTTGGGACTAGCGTCTGCTCAAAGCAGTTGACAAAAGCCATGCGGCGAACAAGCACTTGCACAGTGATACAGCCCTGTAGCCACCCGATGGCTAGTTTCGAACATCCTCCCATAGATACATCTAGTAATCCATTACGACACCCATGTCACACAGACACGATGAATATGAACGGTACCGAATTTTTTGTTTTTGATATGCGTTACAGCCCTATAAGTCAAGGTATATACGTTATAAATCACTAAGATAAGTGTATAACGTATTCCGTCCCTACCCCCGGCACAATTCATTGCAGGACAAAGAAAGTATACCCTTTGTTAGTATGAGTCTGAGTTGTACAATCACCTGCTGCCGTTTAGCTACTCACGACACCAGTAAGATCAGTGAGATTATTAATCGTTCTTCGATGGTTTCCTTTCCATCTAGCATCGATGTAAAGTTCACCCAACGTACGCGATCAAAGTACAATTTTCTCCAGACAGCACTCAACTGGCCACGGGCGGAGCCGACGGAAATTTTAATCTACTGAAGACCACCGATTTCGGCATCGCGGCGTCCCACAAAGTGACTGCTTCCGGATTGTACTGGGTATGGGATTGCGCTTTCTCGGCTGATTCCCGTTTCCTGATCACGGCAACATCAGACGGGATCGCGCGCCTATGGAATCTGGAGACCGGAGAGGTGCCGATCGAATACAAAGGGCATCAGCGCGCCATAACATGCATGGCTTTTCGTGACCACTCCCTTGGCTGATCCGTGGAAATGACCAAGGCACCCCTATCTAGTTTAAATTTTTTACTTGAGAATAACCTGGTTTCTCTCGCTTTATTCATTGTACAGATCTTCGTGTTATGGATAAAACTACTTTGATAACTTGTTCTTCTCACTGTGAAGACAGAGAGTGTGGGATACAAAAATGTACCACCATTGAGTCGCAGTTGACAGGCTTCCGTAATAACACTCGTACTTCTGCATCTTGCTAGGAATGACCCTATTGATCATAGTGTCACTAGCTTCAGACATCGTGACCCTAACGTAACTACGACCGAGATAGGAACACTTTACCATATTAACGAAACGCGGTAGTCGACCGAAATGTAGCGTCAGTCTACGATTGCGCGGTTTTACCTGGGTGCCCTCCTGTTAAGCTTTCGCCTCCTTATCCTGACGGTTTCTAGCTGCGCTAGAGTAAAATCTCTGCTGTCACGTATGATGGTGGAACTACTACCTACAGTGTTATCTATCTTCTATGCAAGGGATATCTGACGGCCATCCAACCTGCTGGAGTTCTGGAGGGGAATAAATGCATATCGACCAAAGAGGTCATCAATCGATGGCTATAATGAAGTCTATGTCTAGTTTACACAAAGGTCTCCGGCAATGGGTAACAACCGCGGAAACGGTTCCAAAATGTTGTCCGGTAATCAGGCAGTTATGGGCACACCGGTACCTTCATTCGCGATGGAAGGTGCCATCTGGAGTCGCCGCAAAAACGTGTCATCCGTCTCCACCAATCGTTCTCTGCCCATTTGGCACCAGTTGAATCGCGGTCGTCCGAATCTAAAGTTCCATTCGCGGCCTCGCTAAATGATATTCGCTGCTCACTCCGCTATCTGCAGGTGGTGGTGAAGTGCCCTGTGAAGAGATCGACATTGGGTACCGCACACTTAACGGGTGAATCGAATAAAGTCATGAGTAACCCCTGTGACAGCCGTTTCATCTGGCTCCTCGAGTTGCAGTTCTGATTTCTCTATATGACAATTGCAGATAGGTGTGAGAGACTGGTCATTCAGTACGGTATTGACTGCGAGCAACACCTAACGCGTAACCGAAAGTTCGTAGCGGCTTCCAAGACAGACAGTACTCCACACGCCCGCAATTCATGACGGTGCGCTCCCGTCCTCCATGGCCTAGTGGCACAAACCACTCTTCATGGGTCCGAGGCATGCGCACTACTGACGAGTTCCTTTTGACGGAACGGCCGTCTAGTGCATTTCTAGGCGTATCAAATATTTTAAATAACACAGTAGCACTAAGCTCACGGTAGCTGAAAATTGACAACCAATTATTTTCGCACCTGCCAGCGTTCATCCTTTTGCACTGTTATTCAACTTACTGAAAGGAGATGACGCACCCATGATTTTGATCTGTTATCGGTTTTCGATGTGGAATAATATTTCTCTTGTCTCCAATGTACATTACCAATGAGACCGTGGTTGTAAAATGAGGGGTAAAAACCCACAACGCAAACGCTACTGTAGTCGGCTTCTCGCCATGCCAAAATTTATCTCCAACCACAAAGGTTCATCATCCTTCGGACGCCTCCCGGTTGTTAAGATGCTCGAAACGGCGCCACCTTCAGAGTAAGGAACTTCATTCTTCTTGACTTCTCCTTTTACCAAAGGAATGTCATTGTTCCACATCGTTCGAGATATTGAATGACGATGATAACTTGCCAAGATTCTTCACTCCGCTTGAACCCCTCGCGTCTAGCACTTTCATATGTATGCATTTCCCGGAAACGTTTACCCTAATCGGACAGTCCAAAATCGTACGTCGATCCACCGAATCAGAAACACCTCCGTTGCGATGACACGACAGATGGAGTGCTCGAATAACTGACAAAGTGTGAATGTGGTCAATTCAGCCCCAATTTCGGCGAAACCCAGCTTGCTTTTCCCGAAACTAGCATTCCTCAGCGCTAATCAGTCTATGAAGAACGACAGAGGTAAGCAACTTGAGAGCAATAGACATCAGACTGTTTGCGGCATCCCAAATACCAGTCCTCCTTGAAAATCGGGCTTATAATACAGCGGCTGCAGATTTGCTAGTAAATAATTTAAGTTACGAGCAAGAACTGGAGGAAGTGCATTTGATCAGCAGTCCGATCATTTTCGACTTTGCCGCTCGAGAGCGGATCCGAACCGATGGCCCAGAGAGCAGGGTGATCACTAACCGGTAAGGAAACAGCTAATTCTGGCCGACTAAATTGGTTAGCCCAAACTCTCCAAGTATTTTGGTAAGTTGTGGATAAGTCACCATCTTTTGCGCATAGTTTTGTTAACACCAAGTCCCATGAAATCGAAAAACTAAGTTACAAACTGCAGAGGACAGTGGTTGGCCCTAGAGCTACGACTTTCCACACTGTGTACGGCAGTTAGAAGCTATACCTGCTAACCCGCGCATCGACGCGAGCATACTGCGAAGGTCGGCTAGCTGCCTCAGGCTTTTCGCACGTTGCTGCTGATATCCGGTGAAAGACTAAGTTGGCGCTGACTAATTTACCCAAACTAAGTTTCCGTAAGGCAAAGCAATTAATTATAGTATCAGGGGATTCATTCTGTCAAAATCAGCTCATCCAAACTCCAGTCCTCAAAACTGCCATCTGGAAGATAACGCCGAATAATTATGGGTATCTTGTTCGCTCTCAACTCTTTTTCGGCAATCTTGAGTGGATCACGTTCCCCGTCCAACTCCACCATGACTGGAGCTGACATGGACAACTGCAGGGCCCTGGCGCCCAACACACGAGCTCGCTCATATTTTGTTAGATATGGAGTGGTTATTCGCTTGCTCTTCTCCACCGGACCGGTCATGCAGACACTTGAGGGTAACCGAGGCGCATCCTCCGCGGAAATGTGGATGACTGCATCTGTGAATGGGATACAGGGAAAATATGGGAATCTGATGAAATTAGTTAACTGCAAGAGCCCATGCGCATACATCATCTGATATCTCACAACACTTGAGATATACCACTGTAACAGCTTTTGGCATTCGTAAAATTGTTAGACACATGAAATTTACGGTGATGGAAATGAAAAAGGTCAAGAGGTGGATGTGTGTGTCAAATAGAATGAAGGCTTTAAAACGACTAGCGAAGGGTCTATATGATGGTGCCGCTCGTCCTCAACTATACTAAAGGCAAACTAACAGTATGCCCTCACAGGTGAACATGCTTCTTCACCATATTGTTCTAACGATCTACTTATATGGATGTGGACTACGACCTGAAGGAACAACAGAAATAAAACGGTTCAGCCAGATGTATTCGGTTGACAACGAAAGGGGATAAACAGTGAAAAGGTGTACACAAAGTGCTACGCACCGGGTTTGGCATCGAGTTCCTCCTCTGGCACCTCATCCAGGACGTCATCATCCGATTCGAAGTCATCTGCGCCTCCGGCACCATCATCGGCCATTGGAATGAGACAAAGAACTGAAAAACAAAAAAGGCGTGGATGTTATTTACTAGCGTTTATAGTTAGATCATGCTTGCAGAGTACACAGAGGAGCCGATTAGTGGGATATGGGATCCGTAGACAAGAGAGCCCCGAGACTAAGTAGTGATGCGACATGCGTTACAAAAAGTGCTGTGACTAATGGTGGTTACCAAAACGTGCGCAGTTGCGCAGCGCAACATAAGAGAACATATCAATCCGTCAGCCGATCTGAATGGTCGGGCTGAAAGCAGCCAATTAGAGCGACGGCACGAACTTAAGGGACGGTAACAAATTGGTGACGGAGTAGTTTGCCTGAAAATGCGGAGGAACTATCCACCATACTGCAACATCAATAAACACGGTTCGAAGAAGGCCAGACAGGACTGACCGAGTACACCATACAGTCTCGCAGCGAAAGCAAGGTCAGACACCGTAAAGCATCGTTCTTCGTGGACGCCGTCTTCAACAGCAATAGTGAATTTCAATATGACCCGGATGCCAGTCTCACTATCGAATTTTGGATCAGAAGATACAAAGACGTTTTTCAGTTTAAACTTGCTGATACTGATGACGGATGAAAGTATAGAGTGCTCTTGCGAAAGTTCGGAACAGTCTCCGACACAACTGCATGAAGCGCGTTACGTTAGCCTCAATTTCTCAAGTAGTGTCAATCGTCACTGCGAGTTTTAAGCCAAAAGAGATAACGGACGACTAGTTCGAGAGCTTATTTTTCGTTTGTGTTCTCCAAGCGCCCGTAGATGTCGAAGTACGCGTGATAGTGCCTACAAAACTGAGCATAGCTTGTCTATTAACCTCAATGTCCATCACCACCGAATGCCAGAAACTAATCAATTTGAAACACGACATGAACATGATTGCCAAAGGATGCAGCCGATGTTTCGGAGATGCTCTGGCAGTGTCAAATCAGTGCCGAGGTCCAGGGATGGTTCGAACACTGTGAAGCCAAATAAGCCACCATTAGTATTCTGACAATGTGGAGAATGATACTTCGTCAGATTCTGTTCAAGAAACGTCGTTGTCAGAAATGCAACAAACGGGATCACAGGGAGGATCATTGCCACCCAACAATGACGTCTCCAACAAATATTCCAAAAAGCTTGTACCCACATCTTTAACAATAAAAGTTTCTTAGCTCTATTTTGCTTTTCCTACCTTCGATGCAGGGGCCGCAATGCACAGAATGTTCCTTATAGTAGGTGTGAACCAAGTGTCCGTATGCCTCCAGTTTGGCCCTGCCTCAGATATGATGGTCAGATCAGGAAAATCTTGAAAAAAATCGGTAAACTATGTATCATGGGATCTCGGGTTGCTACCAACGCTTCAGGAGGGATTTTGAGCCTGACCGGTGAGATTTCACGCCGTCATTTCTAAAGACTCAGAACTTACTTGGTCTCGACTGAATTGGCAACCTGAAGCTACTTGATGGTGCACGAGTACTAAGGCTATTTTATCCCTGCGGTAAGACGCGAAGCAAGTCTTCCGACCAAAGCCACCAATTTCGTATGCAGTCGTTTCAATCGTCGACGAAGAATTAGACAACGTACAAACGGGGGGTTTATTGAATCGACCAAAGGGGACAATTGACCTACGTTCAGATTACTCTACCGGTCTAATTGCTGCGTTATAAGATTACAGGTGCCCTCTGCCCTTTCACGAAGACCTATTTTGCACGCTTAAACGGTGGCAAGTGTTCTGCCAAACTGGACTTATCCCGGGCGTAGCTCCAGAGTGAAATGTCAGAATAATCGCGTAAGTTGCTAACGACAAACATCCATCGCGGACTATACCAGTATACGCGACTATCATTTGGCGTTAAATAGTCCCCGACAATTTTTCAGCCGATCATGAATACGATGCTACTATGAATAGCATATACTGCAGCATACCTGGATGATGTCGTCATTATGGACCAGTGTAAATTCTTTATGACACCTATTAAACACGTTGATTTTATCAATGATCAAGGCGGGCGACGAGCCGATGCGTCAAAAATCAAGACGGTTTAAGCATTAGTTCAATTAGGCAACTGACCTGGTCACCTAGGGTGAATCCATCTGCCATGGTTTGCACAACAAGTAAGGTAACCAGAATACAGTGAAAATTGAATCAAGAGAAGAGTGCGTTAAACTATTCAAGATGAAATTGAACTGACAGCTAGATGCAAGAAGCCGAATGCATGAAAGCCACTGACTGCACGATTGCGCCATGTCCGTTAGATGCACCAACCACTGATGTGGTCCATCTCGAGACTCTCGTCACAACGAAACTGGACCTTAACGTCGTGCGATGGTTTGCGTACCTCGGTGAGTGACCGAGTGGTCTGCGCACCTGGTTTGCAACCATAAAGTCACCGGTTCGAATCCGCGTAGGAGTGAGCGTCCTCGCGGTATACTCAGTCTACGCAGGACTGGTGGTAGTCGCGCGACGGCTAAGCAGTTAAGGCGTACAGCAGGCGATTTGTTTATTTTTTAATTTTTGTGACCCATCGAGCTATACTGGGTGGTGCCCCTAGACCCCTTGAAAGCTACTCCTACCAGATTAGTCGATGGTTAGAGGTCAGACACACTCATTCTTCTGGTCCACCACGTTGGGGGTTAGAAATGGGATGGTGTGCATTACTGAATAACCGACTCGTTGCCACCACCTCGGAACCTTGCAGATAGAATTTGAGTCAAAGGCTTTAGCCGAGAACCCAGGTTGAGACGACCTTGTATTATCTCAGCAGAAATACAAACATCAGTTCAAATGGCTAATGTTGATTTCCATACCCCTATGCACGAAGACTTCACACACCAAGTTTCTAAGTCAATTTCTTCATGCATTTAGGCTAATGTCATCGACCGACAACCTACTCAACTTGGTGCAGCGACGGCGTGTAATGCACACGGATGAAGCCGGCCAACGACCATATAGAGAGCAGGATCTCCTAAAAGTAAACGATTGATCATTAGCAAACACTCGAGTGAGGCAACAGAGGATTTCACGCCTACAACTTACTAGCGGACCCGGTGTTCACACCAGATGTGCGCAATATTCCGTACGCATTAGTGGTAAAATACGGCCAAACGTTTAACTAATTCGTTGAGAACTGGTCAGCTCTCTGATCTACGCAGTAACACAAGCTCTGTCACACTATATATATATATATATATGGCAGGTTAATAAACATCCGTGGTTTCGGTACGACAACCCTTGTCTGTGGTACAACTATCTGTATGTTCCTGTTTGCTGACGACTGTGCGTTGTTGGCACACATACACACACAGCGCGGATCAGTTGCAGCACATGACTAGTGTTCTGGCTTCGACAGCCGCCGAATTCGGGCTCACCATCAACACAAGTAAAACTGTCTGTTTCTTTTAGCTTTCACCGGAGGAGCAATCTACAATGGTGCCGCGGATCAGCATTGGTGCTGAAGTATTGGAAACTACCTCCTGCTTCTGGTAACTTGCGAGCTTCGTATCCGCGTCTGGAAGGCAGCGGCGGCATTCGGGAAGCTAGAGCACCGAGTGTGGAACAACCATCAGCTTAACGTTGGCACGAAGCTAATGGTGCATAAATCCATGGTGCTGTCCGTTCCTCTATACGACATTGAAACGTGGACGATGTCCTGGCGGGATGTGCGTTATCTCGAGAGGTTCCATCAACAGTGGTTGCGACGAATTCTGCGCATTGGTTAGTGCGACAGAGTTGCGAACACGGAAGTGTTGCGCCGAAGTGGAATGTATGCAGTGGACTGTATACTTTTGTTGAGACACCTGAGGTGGCTCGGTCATGTGAGCCGTATGGATTCGACGCGGATACCGAAACAACTCTTATACGGTCAGCTGAGTATTGGGAAGCGGCATGTAGGGAAACAGAAGCTTCGTTACCAGGATATGATCAAAGTGAGCCTCTCAAGTTACGGGTTATGGAGATCGAAGGCGGTTGGTTGGCGTGCATGGCGCGATGTGATCGCGAAGGCAGTTGCCGAAGTGCGGGAGAAAGACCTCATGCATGCAGAGAAGAAGCGGCAAGCACCGATGGGTTGTACTCAATTGGCATCGAGCGCGTGGTGCTGTAGCACATGCGGTCGCGAGTGCCTGAGTCAGGCAGGCCTAGTGAGCCATGGGCGAGGGCACTCTTGGCCACCACCGAAGTGACGACGCGTCCTACAAAGAACGTAGGCAGAACCGGCGCAGCGTTTGTAGGTAAACTGTATTGGATTTACTAACCGCGTGCTTGCATCCTGAGTTACTTTATTGTAGGTGGTGGGTTTGTTATATTCTAATGATGCTTTTTTATCTCTTATTAATATCGACCTGAACTATCTTCTGTAAACATGCACATGTTCCTTAACTTCTTAAGTTAACTTCGATAACATTTTCGCGTTTGTAACATTTTCTTAAAATATATTTTCTGACATCTTGAACTGATCCCGGGTTACTTCGTAACCAATTTATTTAATATGCTCATTTAGTGAAGAGTTCATCCGAGCCTGGCATTCGAAGCAAAAGTCGATCATTAAGCACTTGGACATTGAAGTCGCTTACGAGGCACCGCGAATCAGGCCCTGAAGCCGCAATGATGATATTGCTAGTCAGCAACGAAACGTATGCACAATATTCACTGAGCGCAGAAAACAGCTTAAACTCCGCAGGGAGAAGTTATGTCACCGTATCTGTATGCATTATTCGATTTATTTTATTTGATCCCGTCATTTTAAGTGATTGGCTGTTGCTTGATATCACCGGGGTGGTCGCGCTTGATGTGCATGTTAGCTAGGTGCCTACCTGTCTATTACCCACCTTACAATTAAAAAATGACGTCGCGGTAGCCATCTGAAACATGTGCACGTCCTCCCTTATTTGTTCACTGGCATGATATATACTGCGAATTATTCGATGGAATATAGCCTTGTCATCTAACATGGCGACGGGTGATCGAATATGCCCCCACCTTTTTGACACAACGTAAAAGTTGGTAAGACAAGTCT